GTAGGTGAGGGTAATGCAGTTGCTATAATCTACGTGGATTCAGTAAGGCTTTTGACAAGATCTCGCATGACACACTGGTTAAGAAGCAAAGAGCCTCTTGGGATCCAGGACAATTTGGCAAAATGGATCCAAAATTAGCTTAGTGGTAGAAATCAGAGGTTGATGATTGAAGGAAGCTTGTGCCTAGTGTTGAATCATAGGGTTTGGAGCTGGGTTGCTTGCTGTTTGTTGTGTGCATTAATGATCTTGATATGAATGTTGGAGGTGAGATCAGTAACTTTGCAGATGACATGAAAATTGGTGATGTGTCAAATAGCAAGGAGGAAAGCCTTAGACTGCAGGATGATATAGATGAGCTGGTTAGATGGGCTAAACAGCAGCCAATAGAATTTAATCTTGAAAAGTGTGAGGTGATACATTTTGGCAGGACTAACAAGGCAAGGAATAGGACCCTAGGAACTACAGAGATCAGAGAGATCGTGATGTGCGTGCCCATAGATCCTTGGCAACTGGACAGGTAGGTAAAGCGGTGAAGAAGGCATGGAGGATACTTGCCTTTATTAGTGAAGGTATTGAATGCAAGAGTAAGGAGGTTACGATAGAGCATTAATTTGGCCACAGCTGGAATACTACTTGCAGTTCCAGTCATCACATTATAGGAGGGATGCAATTGCACAACAGGGGGTGCAGAAGAGATTCACCGGGATGTTGCCTGGGCTGGAACAGTTCAACAATGAAGGCAGACCAGATGAGCCAGGGTTTTATTTCCCTTGGAGCAAAGACTGAAGGGGGAATGTGATTGCAGTGCACAAAGTTCTGAGGGGCATAGACAGGGTAGATAGGGAGAAACTTGACCCCTTCAAGGGGTCAGTAACCAGGGAGCACTGTTTTAAGGTAAGATCGGGTGTTTTAGAGAGCATTTGTAGGAAAAATAATTCAGCCAGAGGGTTGGAGATATTTGGAACTCAATGTCTGAAAAGTGATAGTAGTGGGAACCTTTGAAACATGTGAGAATAATTTAGTTGAACACTTGAAATGCAATATAATACAAGGCTATGTGCCAAAATGCTGGAAAGTGGGGCTAGACTAGATGGATGCTTGATGACTGGTGGGGACATAGTGGGCCTCTTTCCTTGCTGTAAAAACTCTGACTCTATGTTGGAGTTACGTTAAAATTACTAGTATGTTAACTGGGATAACAGACTTTTAAAGAAAAGGTAATATGTATTTAATATATTCAAAGAAATTTTGTTTTTTTTTAGAAATGCAGCAATGGTTTAGATTAGATACAGAGTTGTAATTTCTAATTTTTTTAGTCAAAGCTGCAACTTGGCATGGTAATAACCAATTTGCAAATTTTGTATATATCATAGCTTGTTTTCCCTTTTAGACTACAAGGATCCCGTTGTTTAGAAAGGTATTTAGAACTGCAAGTCTCAAGATTGCAATATCCTATAAATGTTTTTGTGTGAAAACATTTTTGTGTGTCATACTTAGTGTCTTCAAAGTCCAGTTTTCCATGCTTTTTGCCCTGGGCAGCTAGTTCTATTGAATATGCATAAAATGCAAAACAGCATTTTTATTCTTTCGTGGCATGCAAGTGTTGCAGGCATTTGTTGTCCGTTCCTTGAGAACTTAGTGGTGAGCTGTCATCTTGAATTGCTAAAGCTGATATGGTGCAGGTATACTTAGAATTCGGGTCCTAACAGCACCCTGAGTTTTTGACCTAATGACTGTAACAGTACAAGAATATGGTTCTAAGTCGGGATGATCCCTGACCTGAAATGAAACTGGCAGGTGTTGATGTTTCTAAGTATCTGTTGTCCCTATTCTTGTAAGTGGTGGGTGATTGGCAAGGGGCTGTAGCTAGTAGCTACTGCCACCACAGTGTGCCAAGGGTAGAAGAGATGAATGTTTAAGGTGGCAGCAGGTGGATTGCCATTCAAGCGGAGAGCTTCTTATGTTGTTGGAGTAGCACTCATTCAGGCATATGCTGAGTATTCTGTCACATGCTTGATATTATCCGGGCATTGATGTGATAGGAACTACTTGGTGCAGAACTCTTAGCTTCGTATGTGGTCCAGTTGCCATTAAACTTATGTGCTTGGTTAGTTAAGTTTTGGGTCGCTAATAACACCTAGTCCACGCCTGAATGTTTTCCACATTTTTGTTGCATGCGGGCACAAACTGCTTCAGTATCTCAGGAGTTGTAAATGCATTCGAATGTTACACAAACAACCAGCATCAGCAAACAGCCAACTCCCCATGACGTTGCAATGGAGAAAGATCCATTAATGAACCAACGGAAGATGGTTGGGTCCAGGACGCTACCCTGGCAAATTCAACAGTGGTGCCCTTGTGGCTGAGATGATTGGATTCCAACTGCACCACCATAGCTTTCCTCCTTTGTGTGAGGTATGACAGCAACTGGGTGGGATGTTTTCCTGATGTGAATTGACTTCAATTTTCTGAAGTCTCCTTGATATTGTTATTTAATTGTGGAAGTATAGTGGACTGTCAGTTTGAGTCTGATCACATGATGTCGTCATGTCATCTACCATTTTGAGCAGGAAGCCGTTTGGTTTAACCTTACTTGTTCCCATTTGAGACAGGTTTTTAAGGCTGCTTGTCTACACCCCTGGCTGAAGACCTTTCCCTCCATGTAGCACACTCGTGGTTCAGTGTTCCTTTGGGGTGGAACACATGGCAGGCTTCATCTGCACAGTTAACATCTTCCCTAAAATGAATTCTTTATTTCCTTGCTGACTGTGCCTGCCTCAGTGCAGAAATGTCTTTTGATTTCCTTTCTTTTTATTGGAGTGCCTCAGAGATCTGTAATAAGGGCAATGACTTTTTTCCCCAACAGATCAATGGGTAAAGCTGGTGCATCTCAAGTTAGTTGTCCCATCATTGTCACCAGTTTTCTTGCATTAATTTCTAAGAAAGACCAGGTGGTGAAAATGTTAAAAGGCAGGAGCTTTACTATTGAGATGTTACTCTACTGGCAGCAAGGTTAGACTAAGCTGTTGTCACAGTCGATCCACTACTGCCTTGCTGTGGAGGATAATCACTATTACTTCACCACTTGAATTCAGCTCCTTTGTACATCTCTTACCAATGCTGTAGTCAAATAGCCCTGGAGAACCCAAACAGGTATTCTTAGGCATGTCATTGTTGAGTAAGTGCTGCATGATGTATCCTTCCATCACTTTGATTAATGGATTAGGTTGGACTTGTGATTTTTGTAGACAGGGCATATGTGGATAATTTTCCACACTGTTGAACTGTTCTCAGTGTTATAATTGTACAGGAACAGCTTGGCTAGATGAGCAGTTAGTTCTGGTGCCTTCAGCGTTTCAGCTAGTGTGTTGATTGTGTTATAGCCTTTGCAGTATGCAGTGCCTTCAGCCATTTCTTGATATCACATGGAGTGAATCAAACTGTTTGAAGACTGACATCTGTGATCATCCACTTGGCACTTTTGGTTGATGATGATTGCGCATGATTCGGCATTTCTTGTGCACAGATGTGTTTTGGCAATTAACTGGCCAACTCAGGTACAATTTAAAAAAAAATCTAAAGCAGTCGTGAGTTTTTTATGCAGAGGGTGGTGCACGTGTGGAATGAGATGCCAGAGGAAGTGATGGAGGCTGGTACTATAACAACATTTATAAGGCATCTGGATGGGTACATGAATAGGAAAGATTTAGAGGGATACGGGCCAAATGCTGGCAAATGGGACTAGATTTATTTAGAACTTCTGGTCGGCTTGGACGAGTTGGACCAAAGGTTCTGTTTCCATGCTGTACAGCTCTATGACTCTATTGAAACTGTAGTACATATCTACAATAGATATCTAAGTCCCTGCATTAATGGGTTATGCAGTGGTAGGTTTACTAGATCATTTCTGAGCATGTTTAAATCTCAACCAGCTGCTATTTTTGTCGTGACATGAAGGCCAGACTGAATAAGGATGACAAATTTCATTTCTTCAAGAACCAGGTAATCCAACAGTTTCTTAGTCACCATTGCTGACACTCACTTTTTATTCTAAATTTATTAGTAGATTTTAAATTCAACCAGTCACTGTGGTGGGATTTGAACTTGTGTCTTTAAGCAATAACCTGGGCCTTTTGTTTACTGGACGAGTTACATTGTCACTATGCTGCCACTCCCTTACTAACATTCCTGTCACCAGTACAAGCTGTTCATACTAACTAAATTTATTGTGCAGATTTAAGATTTCTCGACCAAACTGTAACAGTGCTAAGTGCAGCTTTTGTTCTAACAGGCATCATCACAAAATTCAAATGGGGCATGTGACTAGAAATGAAATGTAAACAGAAAGAGAACTGAATTGACAGAACTTCAGGGGTCACATTGATCAAATGCTGTGGAGTGGCCATGCCCTCATTAAAATGTATCAACTAGTTATAATTTCTAAAATACTTGAAATTTTAACTCTTATCTTTCTAGCGCTTGGTAGTGAATTGTATCTTAGCTCTCGCTTAGAAAATGTAAGGTTGTTACAAGGAATATAGTTTTTTGAGCTTTCTGATAGTTTCGTGGATAATGTACTTCACAGTAAGATCTCGTTCAATTCCTAGTTTGTGTTGGGCTAAAAGTTCTTAACTAGGGAAATCAAATAACCATTTTTGCTGATAAACGCAGTGCTGTACGTAATTATAGGCAAGTGACTCTTAATTTGTTGTTTTTAATATCAGTTAAAGGTAGGATTGAGCTGATGTGGTTTCCTCGGCAGTTAAAGTACTTGTCATAAAGTATCAACTCAAGCTATGAAAAGTAGCTGCTTGGACAAGATATAATATGGCTGTAGGAAACCAACCTAAAGAAAGGCAAAACAAATTGGTCCACCAGAAAATTGTAAATATGTCCTTTCAGGCTTTCTCTCTGTCATAAAAACATGGCTTAGTCACATAAATGCCAGTAGGAATGTATCTGCAAACTTATTTTAGATTTCTCTCTTCTGTGCAGACTAGTGTGAAGCCTCCTTTAGGCAGGAGCACAAGACGGTTGGGTTTGAGGACTTCTTCACAGGTTCCATCAATGTTACTCCACGCTCATCCAGCAGAAGGCCCACTTGCAGCAGGGTGAGATGACTGTCAGATATTGCCTGTTTCAATGAGAACGGTCTGCACTTTCCAACCATGCGATCTCTCTTACAAGCAATCTAGCCCAGAAATGATAATGCCTCCTTGCTCCTCACCTCTTGGCCGTGTCAGGTGGACACCACTGTAAACATGGCTTTGAAATACATGCTGTTTTTCCATGCTCTTGAGTAACCTATGGTTAAAGGTTTGAGGCAATCATAAGTCAAAAAATTATAAACTACCAAATGTTTTCAATAACCACCTGAATGGAATAATTAAACTTTACTTTTCTGTGTAACATTTGGGTAGTATATGTAGTTACGTTTCACCATTCCCTGCCCTAATTTGAGGTGTCTGCTCTACTTGAAGTACAGCGTAGGGGAAGAAAACAAACTTAAGTATATTTTCCATTCCTGGTAAATGTCTTCCTCAGGCAATCAGGTGAAGATCGGGTCTTATTGCACAGGGAGATTGACCATAGATCTATTTGTTGCTTGTTAGTCTGCTATCAAAATAGCAAATGGGTATATAAATATTGTTATGTTTTAAGAAAAGGAATATTTAGTGTGGAAGGATGTGATTTTTGCATGTTATTCTCACAAACTTGTTTATGTTGATCCCACAAGGGAGGATAGATAGAGCAAAGCGAGAGCTTCCTGGATGATAAGAGAGAAAGTAAGTTGAAGCAGAAAAAGTCCATGACAGATACAACAAGTGAGAAGAACCAGGCTCAATATAAAAAGTTTACCGGGGAAGTGAAAAATAAATGAGAAACCAACAGCAAGTGAGAAAAGATTGGCAGGTAACTTAAGTAATTCAAAAGCTGAGGGCATGGTACTAAATTAGTACTTTGCATCTGTCTTTCTTGTGCTTTGGGCCTTTTCTTTCCTAAAGATGCTAAGTAGGTTTAAGTTGTTGTAAAACAGGGATTATAGGTGTGCAAAATTACATATTGATTACTTGTGAAAAAATGAAAATGCAGCCAAACTGAATTCCAATTTTGACAGTAAAATTTACTTTCTTCTTAGAAAAAGTGTTCTGCTATCAATGTGTAAACTAATTACTTGCATCTTGGGTAACAATGCAGATGCGTGCCTCCTTTAGGTAACAAAAACAACAGAAATAAGGTGCATTTCCAAGAAAATGAATGAATTGGAGTTGAGGTCAACTTATTCTACTAACTTAAAAGCTGTCCTTGATGTTTGCGATGGCCTAGCTAGGATTACAACTGGTTAATAATTTAAAGTTGCAATAGATTTGCTGTTGTTTTGTTTCTGATGAGGCAGTGTTTGCTGCTTGTCATGGTTTGGGATCACAATGTGACTCTTCCTTCTTCATAAGTTGCAATTTTTGTTTATTGCTTCTCATCCCCTTCTCACATCGGTTCCAAATTAAATTGACACTTATGAAATGCTGACAAGTAGTGCTTTTCTGGAATGTAACAATTTTCTGATTTACAGAACTGAAGGACTGAAATAAGTATACCTATTTTTTTTCCAATTATGAATAATTACCGCATCTGCCTTATACAGTAAATTAAATCATAATTTGCAGGTTCCATTACAACATAAAATGGGAGAAAACTTGAAAGCGATAATTGCCCAAAAGCATGCATTGTCTTTGAACCTGATTACAATTTCATGAAAGAAGTCACTGAATTGGCTGGGTGAGGAGGTTATGCAGTTGCTGATTTTGAATGAAACCCCCGATAAACGCTCATTAACTGAGTCAGTTGAAAGCTTGAAAAATATTTGTCATGCCATTAACACAGGATACACTGTCAGTTTCCACATGGACACTGACATAACCAACTTTACCACGTCATTGCCTCTTTCGACCCCTTCGCTGTAATTTAAAGACTATTTGTCTGATATCCAGTATTAGAAGAACTGAAATTCTTTTCATCTAAATATTGGGAAGACTGAAGCTATTTTCTTTGGTCCCTGCTGCAAAATTTGTTCCCCAGCCACCAAGTCCATCCCTCTGACTGTCTGACATTGAACCACGCAAACTGAGCTTCCAACTACATACCTGTACCATCAGTAAACACCATCTATTTCCACCTCTCTAAAATTGCCCGATTCCACCCTGTCTCCGTTTATCTGCTTCTGAAATTTTCACTCTAGACGCGACTATAATAATGCATTTCTGTAAACCCAAGATCGTCAACAACTCTGTTGTTTTTGTCCTAACTTGTATCAAGTCCACTTCCTGATGATATCAGGGCAGTAGTGAGAGATGATATAGGTTCTACTGAACAAAACGTTGAATCCATTTGGGTGGAAATTAAGAATAGCAGGGAGAAGAAGTCACTGATGGGTGTGGTCTATAGGCCACCAAATAATGACATCGTGGTGGGGTGGGCAATAAACATAGAAATAGCTAATGCATGTAAAAATGGTACAGCAATTATCATGGGGGATTTTAAACTACATATCGATTGGTCAAACCAGGTCGGTCATGGCAGCCTTGAGGAGGGGTTCGTAGAATGCATCCATGATAATTTCCTTGAACAATATGTAATGGAACCTACGAGGGAGCAAGCTATCCTAGATCTAGTCCTGTGTAATGAGACAGGAATAATTAATGATCTCATAGTTAGGGATCCTCTCGGAAGGAGCGATCACAGTATGGTCGAATTTAGAATACAGATGGAGCGTGAGAAGGTTAAATCCAGTACCTATGTCCTTTGCTTAAGCAAAGGAGGCTATGAAGGAATGAGGGAGGAGTTAGCTAATGTAGAATGGGAGCAAAAACTTTATGGTGGGTCAATTGAGGAACAGTGGAGGACTTTCAAAACGATTTTTCACACTGCTCAGCAGAAGTATATTCCAGTGATAAGGAAGAACTGTAGGAAAAGAGAGAGCCAGCCATAGATGTCTAAGGAAATAAAGGAAAGTATCAGATTGAAAAAAAAACGTACAAAAAAGCACAGACTAGTGGGAAACTAGTAGACTGGGAAATCTTTAAAGGCCAACAGAAAGCCACAAAAAAAGTTATAAAGAAAAGTAAGATAGATTATGAGAGTAAACTAGCTCAGAATATAAAAACAGGCAGCAAAAGTTTCTATAAATATGTAAATTGTAAAGGAGTGGCGAAGGTAAACGTTGGTCCTTTAGAGGATGAGAAGGCCAATTTAATAACTGGGAATGAGGAAATAGCCGAGACATTAAACAGTTATTTTGTGTCGGTCTTCACTGCGGAAGACACAAATAACATGCTGAAAACTAATGGCAAGAAAGTTATAGCAGGTGAGGACCTAGAAACTATCATCATCACTAAGGAGGCAGTGCTGGGCAAGCTAATGGGGCTAAAGGTCGACAAGTCTCCTGGCCCTGATGAAATGCATCCCAGGGTACTAAAAAAGGTGATGGGGGAAATAGCAAATGCACTAGTAATTATTTACCAAAATTCGCTGGACTCTGGGGTAGTTCCCACAGATTGGAAAACAGCCAATGTGACGCCACTGTTTAAAAAAGGAAGTAGACAAAAAGCAGGTAACTATAGGCTAATTAGCTTAACTTTGGTAGTGGGGAAAATGCTTGAATCTATCATTAAGGAAGAAATAGCAAGACATCTGGATATAAATTGTCCCATTGGGAACACCCAGCATGGGTTCATGAAGGGTAGGTCATGTTTAATTAATTTGGTGGAATTCTTTGAGGATATTACTTGCATGGTGGACAATGGGGAACCTGCGGATGTGGTGTATCTGGATTTCCAGAAGGCATTTGACAAGGTGCCGCACCAAAGGCTGCTACATAAAATGAAGTTGCACGGTGTTACAGGTAATGTATTGGCATGGATAGAGGATTGGTTGACCAGCAGAAAGCAAAGAGTAGGGGTAAATGGGTGTTTTTCTGGTTGGCGGTCAGTGGCTAGTGGTGTGCCTCAGGGATCAATGTTGGGATCGTAATTGTTTATAATTTACATAGATGATTTGGAGTTGGGGACTAAGTGTGGTGTGTCAAAGTTTGCAGATGACACGAAGGTGAGTGGTAGAGCAAAGTGTGCAGAAGACACTGAAAGTCTGCAGAGGGATATAGATAGTCTAAGTGAGTGGGCAAGGGTCTGGCAGATGGAGTACAATGTTGATTAGTGTGAGGTCATCCATTTTGGTAGGAATAACAGCAAAATGGACGATGTTTTAAATGGTAAAAAATTGCAGCACGCTGCTGTGCAGAGGGACTTGGGTGTCCTTGTGCATGAATCGCTAAAAGTAGGATTGCAGCAGGTAATAAAAAAGGCAAATGAAATTTTGTCTGCCATTGCTAGAGGGATGGAATTTAAAAACAGGGAGGCTATGCTGCAGCTGTATAGAGTCCTAGTGAGGCCACACATGGAGTACTGTGTGCAGTTTTGGTCTCCTTACTTGAGAAGAGATATACTAGCACTGGAGGGGGTGCAGAGGAGATTCAGTTGATTCCAGAGTTGAGAGGGTTGGATTATGAGGAGAGACTGAGTAGACTGGGA